ATGATTGGTTATATAATGTTATATGCATCTACATTTAGGCAGTGCATATACAGTGTTATCATTCCCATTAATAAAGGTAACAATAACATTAAACTTGTTAACCACACACACAAAAAAAAGAAAATCAGCACATATAACAATTTGTATATGCACAGTTTTAGCATAATAGGAAGTACATGTGCACCCTGTAGTCCACACACTTTTACTCACCTTTTACACCAAAGGAGACACAAGCAGCATTTGTGGGGTTTTTGGGAAAGTTCATAAAGAATATAGTATAGAATATTATAGAGACATCAGTCCCCAGTCTATTTCCTCTCTGGTTCCTTAAATTGCATAATACACAAGGTAAGTTGCATCTGCATTCTCTCAAAATGCATATTTAACCTCTAGCATGTCCTCCTTTGGGGGACTTACATAAATTTATCATGGCGGCCCATTTTTTCTTCTCATCTATTTACACCCTCCACGACACAAAACAGTAAACTATCCAACCAACAGATACGTACCGTCAGGGAGTATGTTAGAGAACGCTTAGCCCGCACTGTCCTGTCCCACTATGAGACAAACAACATCCATGAATGAATAACTTCCACTTAGGAACATTTTGTTTAGTCTGACACAGTAAAAGAAAAAAAAGGGATTAGGGCATAGAGAGCAAGGAGAGCAAACTACTCTTATTTTTGCACTTATCACTGTTTAAATATAGGAGGTCAAAAAAGCAACTACAACTTGTACTGGAGATTGACATTGTTTCAGAAAAGGAAAAACAATACTCATTTAATCAAAATGTAGTATACTAATTATTAATTGTATCATGTTGTTTATATTCAGGAATCATGTAATAGCATTTTTACTTGTTTTATTCATTAGGTCACATGTAGAACTGACCCGAGGTCAGTATTGATCGATTCTCCCTTGATTGGCTTGGTGATCTGAAGGTCAAATTAATGTTTTCTAATCAGTCCTCCAATTTTCAGTCTCTAACTGCATGCATGTACTGATTTAACTTTATGAGTTTATTAAAAGTCAGATAAAGTTTGGGGACATGATCTGATACATAAATGGGGATCATTTGGAACCTGCAGTACATTGTTTTTGTTGTTCTTATAGAAAATAAACAAGAAAATAAGAATAGTGGGTCAGACCTCAAGGAAAAACAGAAATACTTCTGTTGGCCATAAACTGTGTATCTGTTAATTATGTCTGAGATTGGGAAAACAGCACATTTTATAGAATTGAGGAATATTTTTGTCTCTGTCATTTTGTATTTCCGGTTAATTTATACAGATGTCCATTAAGATTTCTTTTAGTATGTTATTAGTATTATCATACTTATCATTGGATCAATACTACTAATTCTTGCCATAGACTGTCCCTCCAGCAGCTCTATTAAAATCAGCTTCCCTTTTACAGCCGACCTGAAATGGATTCAACCATTACATAATCCTTCTCAGAGGTAAAACAGATCCATATGAGAAACTCCAGACATCATTACAGATATGTTTAATCTTTTGTGTTGAGTAGCTGTCCGCTTTTCCTCAAACATTTCACACACAGATCACGAATGGCAGTTCTTTTGAGCACCGAGAGAGTCATTTTGCAAGCGGAGCAAAACCGGTGCAGAAGTGGAAAAGAAACTGTGTTTGCGTCCCTTCCTCTCATCCAATGTTCCTTGCTGCTCTATCTCGGAGCACCAGCGTTCACCCACATCCTGAAGACATTGGCCCTCCTTGGAATCGCTCAGCCCCGGAGCCTTATTAACACATAGTTGCAGAAAAACGGCCTTCCGCTTGGTGATGTGACAGAGGGAGTCTTCTGTGAGCGTTATTTGTCCACAGGCTTTTTGATTTTCAGCGTGTTAACAGTGTCACAGACAGAAACGGTGTGGTCGGCCTCTCCCTTTCTGGACATGTCGGGCTCCCAGAGGAAGAACTCATGGAGGAGGGTGTTGACGGTGTCAGGACACTCCATCATGACCATGTGACTTCCCTCCTCAATGACCTTCAGGAAGGCAAACAGGAGGATCTGGAAGCAGAGTTGAAAGGAATGCAAACCTGTCAATATCTAAAACTGGAATGGATCAGACACATAAATCCAGCTGTCATTTCTGTAGTATAAGAAGGTTTTTGTTTAAGGTATTAAATATTAGCTAGTAAGGCTGTTTGCATTTATTGAATGACTCTGACATTTTGATCAGAATTTAATTGAATATGTTGGCTCAGTTAACTGTTATTCTGATTTATGGTGTCCAAACTAGTTTGTTTGTTTGTTTGTTTGTTTGTTTATTTATTTATTTATTTATAAGTACAAATTCTTAGCTTTACTGTTATGGCACATAAGTGCTTGGAATCTTAGCTTTAGTTAGTGCTTAGACCAGGGGTGGGCACCTCCAGGCCTGGAGGGCCGGTCTCCTGCAACTTTTAGATGTGTCTCAACTTCAACACACCTGAGTCAAATAATGAGGTTGTTAGCAGGACTCTGGAGAACCTGACTGCACCGAGTAGGTGATTCAGTTATTGGATTCATGTGTGTTGGACCAAGGAGACATCTAAGAGTTGCAGGACACCGGCCCTCGAGGACCAAGCTTGCCCTCCCCTGGTTTAGACAATTTTTTATTGTTTGTTTTTCTTATATCATGTCATTTTAGTTCATTGTGTTAGTTCAGTTACTCTTATTGTTTGTGTTTTGGATTTATTTACTTACACTTGTATTTATCTGTTTACTGTTCATTCTTTCATTCTCTTTCCTTCTGTTTACTTCACCTCAGTCTACCGTTCTGCTTCCCGTCCCAGCTGTTAATCATTTCCTCATTTACTCATACCTGCTATTTTTCCCAGCTGCATCCATTTCTCTGCAATTAGCTTTTCCAGTTCCTCTACATTTCCACGCCCTCCTGAGTACATTTAACCCTTGTGTTTACAAATGGGGTCCAACCGATCCCACACATGTAAAACTTGTATCATTTGCCACAGTCCTCCACGTTTGCCTCATTAAATATGGCTCCTACACATTTATCTCACTCTCACTTTGGAAATATTTAATATATTTATGCAAAAAACTATTTACAGACACGCAGCAGTGTCCACAGAAAAAACATTATGAGATGACCAGTAAAGATTTTTAAATGATTTTAAATTACATTTTTGTTATAACTGATTTTGTGAATAGTCTGATACCATGAGACTGCAATACGTCCACTCATTGGAGTCATAATGTGGAAGCCTCATATCTGCACAGGCATATGTTTCCTGTAGCTTTACTGTACCTCTGCCATGCGCTGGTCCTCCTCCATGGGCACAAACTTGTCACACATGCCGTGAACCAGCAGAATGGGCACAGTGAGTTCGGCATGGTAGACCTCATCGCCCTCTGGCCAGTACTGACCACTCATCATCGCCCGCAGGACAAATGGAGACACATTGAATGCGTTGCCCTGCTTCAACAACTGCTTCTCTTTTGCACCTTGGCGAGCAAATCCAGCTCTGAAAGTTGGAGAAATGTTACCAAAAATCTGCTCATTTGAAAATATTATAAAGATTAAAAAGTAGACAAAAGCTGCTTTTTTTGTGCCATTTCTTGATATTATTAGAATTTTTTATTTATTTATTTATTTTTACTTCAATGGGTGAAGTTCTACAACACAAAGCCATGGATCTTACTTCAAAAAGCTCCAGGCCAGGCAAGGTGAAAGGCAGTGAAGGACACATGATGGAAGCTGGAAGATGGAGCAGAGACTGGGCTCCAGAGCTGTAGGACCCCCTCCATTGATCATCACTACCTTATGGACCAGATCAGGATATTCATGGGCGAGGAATGTACAAAACGATACTCTGGATGAGACATGAAGACAAATTGAAGAATGGCAGTAAAATGTACATTGCCGTTGGAAAAGCAGTTTGCACAACTGTGTAAAAAGGTCACTGTAGATAGAAAAAAAAATAGTACATTTAAACTCAGAAATTTTCTAGAAAAAAAAAACAAACCTGAAAAGTTGAACATTTGCTAGAAAAAACCCAAACATTTATAGATTAAATTTCTCAGTTTGAAAAGCCAAATATTTGCTTGAAAAAAAAAACTCTGAAATCTTGAAAATAGTTTAATAATTTTTCTATAGAAAACATAGAAATTTCTGAGTTTCAAGCTGAAAATTTGCTGGAAAAAAATAGACTTTTCTAGAAAATCTCAAAGATTAATCACAGTAGTCCTCAATTTCTTTTTCAAAAATTCACAACTTTTTGAGATCAGAAATATTCTTGTTTTTTAATAAGAAATTTTTGAGGTTGTTCTTAAAATAAAAGAATCTTTTGGCAAAAATTAACTCCCTTTTTTATAGACAATGATCCTTATACGCCATCATAATTTTAAGGGTTTACTTGTGCCCCCACCAGGCTTAGCATTGCAGGCTTAGCATTTATTTTTAAGTTGTTTTTTTTTTTTAATGTTTGCATTTTTTAAGAAAAAAAGCATGGTGTTTGTGTGGTGTTCAGATATAAATCTTCCAATAACACATAATTATCAAGTGATATTATCAAATTTCCCGTTGACTGTAAACAGATTTTAACTCAAAAACATGGTGGGCTGCTGGATGAATAACTGCCAAGTGGCCCTATCACTGGGCTTAGTAAGTTTTCTGGGGTAAATCTTTATTTTGATTATTTTTGCAAATACAGAGTACTCCTGGACCCAATGATTTATGAATCAGACTCACCCATATGAGTGGCCTATGAGAATGTTCCGTTTCCGAGCATATCTCTTGAAGATGGCCCGAAGGTCCTCTGCCAGTGCATAAAAAGTGTAAGCTGCTGCAATCTGTGGAGCAGTGCTGGCTCCATGCCCAGCCAGGTCAGGCGCAATCACCTCATAGCCCAGACGGGAGAAGAACTCCAGCTGGCTGCTCCAAATGTCCAGAGAGCCTCCCACACCATGCACAAAAAACAGCGCCACATCTGAATGCGTTCCTTTGCAGCTCGAGATGACCTGTGTCGAGTCAATCAGCACAGTGCGTTTGGGCTTGCGACGGCGGCGGCGGGGAGGTGGAGCAGGCTTCTGCTCTCCAGCAGGCAATGGAACCGGAGGAACAGGGTTGGGGTCAGGAGAGGAGGGCATCTCTTTGTAGTCAGCGAGCTCCACCTCCACGGTGCTGCAGGGCTCCAAATCTCCATCCTGACACTGCAGGATCTCAGAATGCAAAACATCGCCGAGGTTCTCAATCACCAGCTGGCCGTTGCGATAGACTGTGATCTTCCTCTTGCAGTGGACGCTGGTGCCAGTATCAGCATCGATGGTGTCCCGAACAGAGGCATCCCTATTGCCATCACAGTCAGCAGTGGTCTTGTTTTTCCCGGCGTCTTGTTTTTCTGTATCCACGCGCTGGCGCTCTGGTTTGATGTGCCGCACTCGTAGAACCCTCCCTGGTTTCACCTCCACAAACTCAAACCCATCGGAGGGCTCTGAAGACTCCAGAGGCAGGACCAGGCTAGTGGTCTTCCCCGTCAGGCAGCACAGGATCCCGTCAGTGATGCTGGTCAGCATGGTGCCTCTCTGTTTTGACAAAACGACACATACACAAAGCCACAGCTAAGTGTCAGGAATTGGAATCAAAGGATAAACTCTTACCTGTCCTACATGGGAGCCAATTTTTAAGGAGTTACAAATTCAGGTGAAAGGTAAAGTCAGGTAAATTTACTTTTATTGATAAATGACTGAATTGTAAAACTTGCATGTATTTTACAGGCATATAGTGGCATTTTGTCAAGTAACTATGTTACCTTCATTTATTGTAAAAATGTAGTATACAGGGTGGGCCATAAGTTTCCATATGTAGGAGAATGTAAAATGTATATTTCTTTATATTTCAGATACCCAAGAAGATGCATTTGACAAAAGAGCAAATAATTTAAATTATACTGATGACTGGATAGGAAAGCAATGGCATGGTTGTACAAAACTTTAACAGAAAACATGGAACGAGCATCACACACGACACTGTGGTAAAACTTATTTGCAAGTTTCAGAAAACTGGAAATGTTGCAGATCAACCACGAAGTGGTCCAAAATGTGTATATCAAAGATTACTTAATGATTTTTTTTTTTTACTTTGTAATTTAACATTTTGAAATTGAAATCTAATTCAGCTCTAGTTCAGTTTAGCACTAGTGCACAGTCATGTTGTAGATCAAATAAAGTAATCCAATTATGAGCTTGACATTGTAAGTATAACTATAATGGCTGGGTATATAAAATAACTTCCACATGCAAAGCTATCAATAAGGATGAGAGAGAGTAGGATCAGCTGTTCCTCCTTCTGCTGTCAGGCATTTAGCCAGAACTTCCTGAAACTGGAAAACTGAATGGATAAAGCAGCACTTTGCTCCAATCTGATGGTTCAAGAACCTGAATAACAGATTAAAACAATAAGCATCTTTGTTGTTGAGCTCATATGTTTATTTATTCAATAATGAAGCAGCAAAAAGGATTTTTGAATTGAAAATGTTGCTTTGCCAATATATGGTCTTTGATTAATTGCAATTATTTAGTTACCATTAACTCGATTAAAAATTTTAATAAAATCTCATCATTAATGTAGAAAAAAAACATCAGCTTTCATATTGTTTTTGATTTCTACATTGCCTGTGCAACAAGCTGTGACTGGAGGTTCCCAAATGTCAACTTCTGCTCCATGATGAAATTTAACCTGTGATAATCCCAAGAGACGAAACGCTGAACCAATAAAGCCCAGACCAAGTGTTGTAATGCACTCACCTCTAGCATTCAAACATCCAAATTCTTCAGAAACCATAAAAAAATACTTCTGCTGTCTTGGAGTTTCAGTGTCAGTCAGGACTGACCGTTGACAATTGGACCAGAATGTTTTCTATTTATAACTCCTTCTTTAACACAGCCAGAATCCAAAAATAAATAGCAAACACTAGTCATGGGTCATGACTGTGTACTTGTCTGTGAGCAAGATGTCTCATAAGAGAATGAGAGCGGTTTTCCAACTATTTCTGTTTCCAGTCCAGACTAGAAAAATAGTAGTATTCGACTCTGATGCATTTAAAGAATTTGAAGGGAGTTCAAATTAATCATTTTTGTTGCTAACATTTGAACCAAAACAATCTGGGAATGAGAACAGGAAGAGGTTGGTAAAGAATCTGACAGGATCCACTTCCCAGTGCAAACTTAATAAGTGTTTATATATTTGCTGGTATTTGTACAACATACTCATTTTAAATCGTATTTCTGCTGATATCTGGCATTTTTATTGTTCCTTATTTTAAATAATCTGTTAATGTTTATAACAGATGTTTTTTGCTGTTTTTGGACTTCAGCTCAGCATTTAATACGATCATTCCCCAAGATCTAGTATGCAAACTGGTCTCCCTGGGCTTCAATACTCCACTGCACAACTGGCTGCTGGACTTCCTCACTGACAGACTGAGGTCTGTCTGTGTGGGTAACACCTTCAATGTCATTTCTTTAAACACAGGGCTGCATCCTGAGCCCCCTTCTGTTTACCCTGATGACCCACGACTGTTGTAACAGGTTTAACACCAACCACATCATGAAATATGCAGACGACACAACAATTGTGGGATTAATTAAGGACAACAATGAAGTGAACTACAGAAAATAGGTACAACATCTTGTGGACTGGTGCTGCTCCTGAACGTCGACAAGACAAAAGAGATCATTGTCAACTTCAGGAGGTCTTGACCGAACCACACACCTCTTCTCATTAACGACAAAGCAGTGGACACTAAGTTCCTGAGGGTTCACATTACAGACAACCTCAGCTGGACAACTCACATTATTTCACTGGTGAAAAAGGCACAGCAGCGCCTGCACTTTCTGAGACGAACAAGAAGGACTTCCCTCCCATCTCCCATCCTCTCCACCTTCTACAGAGGAACCACTGAGAGCCTGCTGACCAGCATTATCTCCATCTGGTCTAGGAGCTGCAAGGCCTCAGACTGGAAGTCTCTGCAAAGAGTGGTGAAGACAGCGGAGAGGATCATTGGGACTCCACTCCCCCCTATCCATACCATTGCACACAGACGCTGTATAGCCAGAGCAAACCAGATCTTCTCTGACTCCACCCATCCTCTCCATGGCCTGTTCATCCGGTTGGCATCTGGCAGGAGATTCCGCAGCATCCGCTGAAGAACAGCCAGACTCAGAAATAGCTGTCTCCCACTGGCCCATTGCTCAACAATCCCATCACTAAAACAGTCTGAGACTGCTTGAAAATACTAAGTTATATATATTTAGCAAAACATTATTTTTTGTTTATTATGTAATTATAGGCACACTTGTGTTTCTGTGTGTGCTCCGGTTGCCAAGCGATGACATTTCATTGCCAATTTTACTTACGTTTCTTTGTGCAATGTTAATAAAATAAGTCTAAGTTTAATACTATGGATTTAATTAACCTACGTATTTCCTTACTTTGGATAGGACTACACTACACTTTTTAATAACTGCACAGTATTCATGCTAAAATGTCTAAATGGACTAAGACATCTTTCTCCAGAAGACATGTTGCTCAGCCACATGCTAATTCCTACTGACGTACTTCATTTTGACCAGGTGCCAGTTTCTTAGTCAGCACCCAGTCTATGATGTTTGACTCACAGTGTTGACAATCACACTGGTGTACAATTATCCCATGTATGGTAGGCTTGAACCTTGGTCTAAACTTTTTTTAAATTTTTTTATCAAAGTGTGGCAATTTGGATTAGACGGTTAAAACTTAGACAGTGGGGTGGTCCACCAGGACAAGGATCCCAAACACTCATAAAAACAAGTTTTAGAATTTGGGGTGTCCTGATCTGATATTTATATCAGAAATTGGTTTGATATCAGCCAAAAGAAAAAAAAACGCATTGGATTATATCAGCCTACATCTAAAATCACAAATATAAACACTCAGGCAGCATTTAGTCTGCCCCACAATTTCTAACCCTCCCACAGACCCACTGGTTAATTATAAATGAGTCAGTTGTTCTGACACGTATTGTTGTTGTTCTCTGCTTGAGTAATACCACTTGATCAAGCCTTTTTTAACATTCCACACTGCAATGCAAGTTACTAAAATATGTATGATTTGTGTTAATATCGTATTGGGTCAATATCAATATTGGCTGATACTCAAAGCTGCAATATCGGTATCATAACAGAAGTGGAAAAGTTAGAATGGATAAGCAGGCTGACATTAAAATTCTGAAATGGCCTTGACCATTGTGAAAATGTGTGATTTAAAAAAAATCTAGCACAGCATGTTAGCCTGAACCATCCCTGCAGTGAAGAATGGGCAGGGTAGTATTACTCTGTGGGAGAGAGGCTGAATAGAGCTTTAGGCTCGTTGAACCTTGGTCACTACCCTCATGCTTATACTAAACTTGCTTCACTGTGGATAGAGACACTGGTGTTTGCTTGACCTTTGAATGTTTCTCAGTTCTTGAACTCCCTAACCAATATAATTTCATGGTGACAGTTTGGATCAGACTGGAGTAAATTGGACATAATATAAAGTTCTAAAACACAAACACATCCAATCTGGTTTTGGAAGCAGGTTTATAATAAGTTAATGGAATTAGTCCAAAATCAAACCTTGTGAGATGTTACTGATAGTGCCTGAAAGCTGGATCAGAGATAAGAAACCAAACAGTTTGAAGAAGTTCCATCATTTCCTATAAGAAGAGTGTTCTTATATGCAGTCAGAATTATGCAATTATGCAAAATCTTATCTTTGTTTCTATCTAGCTATCTAGTTATTAATCTAGCTATCTGTCTATCTATTTATCTTGCAGCTGCATTTTCACTCATGGTGCAGAAAAACACAGCAGCAGCGGCCTGAAATGTAAATCAGGGATTCTCCTACTGACCTACTCATCGATAGCCAGACCCAGATCTGCATGTATCTGCAATTTTTAACGGACCTCTAAACAGTGCAGGCTACCCCTCGAACCGTACCGCCATTTTCGCAACTCTTACCCACATTTGGCGCATTGTGCGCATTCAGCCATCGCTGCGGCTGTGCGTGGGTTGAATGCTGCACGTGCATGGCCTATTTTGCAAGAGGAGACCATTTTAACCTACTTTCTGTTTACTGAGCGATCCGAAGTGGCGCAGCGGAATCACAATGAATTCAAAACATTGAGTCATACAACAGCGTCACAGGGTGTTCTGCAGGAAAACAGTGTGGCTAGACATTCATGAAATAACAGCGAGAACAATTATTATTATTATTGTTGTTATTATTATTATTATTATTATTATTTATTTAATTTATTTATTTATTTATTTATTTATTTATTTATTTATTTTTATTACATTTTATTTATTTATCCTTTTTTGCGCATCAACAATATGTGGCAGTCCTGTGCGGAATGTGCGTTTTTATGATTGAGACGTGAGTAATTTTGTGCATCCACATTAACAGATGCAGTCGGCCGACCGATGATGAAAAGACTTACATGCAAAGTGAAACGCTGCCTCGCGCAAAAAAAAAAAAAAAAAAAAAAAAAAAAAAAAAAAAATTTTTTTTTACTCAGAAATTTTTTTCTCCACTGGGGGGAAACAGGGTGTAAAGGGGCATCCC